ATTCCGATTTCGACTTCAATTTTTCATCAGCCAAAATCTGGAAAAAATCCCTGTACTATAGCCCATGGTGTTTTCAGAAAATGCCTCCAAAATATTGATGCCTTTATGCTGTGTAGAAAGCTTTAGCTGATTCTTACTTCAATTTTTTAAGTTACGGCCATTTAAAAAAATGCCAAAATTTTGAAAAGTACCCAAGACTGTAGTCCATCATTTTTTTCCAAACAATGGCTCCAAAATCACTCAAATTCTTTATTATATTTTAAATACATATTGATGTACTTACTTACCTTTACCATACAATGTACAAAATTGTATTATACATTCTCATAATAATAATGATAATAAATTAATTCTGTTTTGTCCCCCATTAGGTCTGAGACTGTTAGGTTAGACTACTAATAATGAAACCGTCATTGATACAATAATAATATCAAATGGAGACATTAGCACTCATGAATACAGAAGAGATGTGATGAGAAGAAGATAAACATATGTCACTATGGAGATGGAACTGTTAGTTGTTAGTTATTAATATATCTAGTTATTAAGAATAGCGATATTAATAGTTATTAACTCATTATTATGTATTAGTTATTAAATGTGGTTATTAATAGTTATTAAGTATGGTTATTAATAGTTATTAATAGTTATTATTTTATAGTATGGTATTTCGTTGGATGAGACTGTCATTGGCAGTGATTTAATTCACTTACTGTATGTGTTTGGAGCTAATGAAGAAGAGGTACAGTAATACATGTACATGTATGCTTCATATTTCCATACTTTATAATTCTATGCTTCATAATTCCATAGTCCATACTTCATAATTTCATACTTTATACTTCCGTTCCCATACCCCATAGGCTGCTAGTGTCCTGTACAGTATATCTGATGCTGAGTCTAATGTTAGTATCACTGGTAGTGGCCATGAGAGGAAAACACCTTATCTAACTCATCCTGTCTTTAATAGGTAACACACTGTCCCCTCTCTCTCTCTTCTTTTTATTCTGATTATTTACTTTATTTATTTTATTTATTCATTTGTGACCATAATTGACAAAGGGTACCTTATGGCAGATTTTTAAATTCATCATTATAATGAAAAATATCGACCTGTGAGTGCTCTGTAAAACAAGTATTGTTTCTAAAAGTTACATAATAACTTTTTGCATCCTTTGAAGAAATTTTATGATAAATAAAGGTCAGGAAGTTGGATTTTTCAGGCCATAAAGACCAATCTTCCTATCCGCCATAAGGTACCTTTTGTCAATTATGGTCACATTTATTAATTAATTTTATTTATTTACTTATTTATTTTTTCATTTATTTATTCATTGGTAGTTATCCTTCAGAGACTAAGCTGTTACATTATATAAAGGGGCTTTAGAGCAGCTGTGTCACTCTATGATACCACTGGTAATAATAATAATCATAATAATAACTAGACGAATGTAAAACATTAAAGGGGTGAGCCTAAGCAAGCAAAGCAATGTACATACAATAGATCTTGACAGACTAACATACAATACTCAAGCATGATTAT